GAGAGAGAGTGAGAGAGAGAGATAAATAGAAGGAGACAGAGCTGCAGGGAAAAGGAAAGGAGGTAAAAACAGAGAGGAGGAGGAGGAGAAAGAAAAAGAAGCAAAGAAGAAGAATACCAGTGGCTATAGACAAGATAGAAGATTTCCTACCCTGATTCCATGAAAGCGAGGGTTGTTGTAGAAGAGTTTCATCTGTTCTGCAGGAAGTGGCCCCAAAACCTTCTGAATGGTAAAGAGCTGGAGATAAAATGAATCAGCACCATAGTTAATAGTGACAGTAGACTTAACTGCACTTCAACAAGACTCTTGTGGTATATCATGTTTAACACCATGTGTAATATTATGAGGATTTTTTACAAAAGGTTGTAAAAATGTAATGACTATTTAACAATCTTCTTCTTCTACTCCATCCATTCCATAATTGTTGGAAAAATTATTTAGATTTATTGTTGCTAATGTTTTAATTAGTCAAGCAGGGCTCTCAAACCAAAACTGACTCAGGGCCACTGCTGATATGGTAATCTCATGGGAGGCCCACTCAAATGTACTACAAGAAAGCGCAATATTCTGAAAATATTTCCATTATTAACATCATATTTTTTTTTTTCAATGCAAACAGCAGCTTCTATACATTTCTAAATTTTTATTACATATATATCTTCTTTGTTGTTTGCAACCATACAACAAATGAAGGCTGAAAACTGCTCTCTTCTTATCAGCTGTTTGCACGCATTTGCAGGAACCTTTGATCTTTGCGTTAAAACAAAATACATTCTGATTTTGGGCTATATACTGTAACTAAATTTGACTGGACTAATCTATAAAATGCCAGAGAATAAGGACAAATGCTGATTGCCAGCTTCCATATTTCGTCTGATCTAAACTGTCAATGTGCAACACACACACACACCGGTCTTGTCCAGGTGTTGAACCACAAAAATTATTTTCTCACACGCATTCATATCCCTGTTAAACGCTCCCTTTAAAATTTCTATTTTATTATATTAGGAAAAACAAAGGTTTCATTTGCGAAAGCAGATTTGTTTTGTTTTTATTTACTTTCCAAAATCATGTTTTTATTTGTGCACTCTAGGAAAATGCCCAAATAGGTGTTGGCTTTTTCATTTTAAGAACGGTGTTTATCTTTTTTTGCAATGAACTCTTTTGGCTCACGTCAGGTACAGAGGAATCATTTATTTTGTCTGAACAACAGTTAAAAACACAAAGATTCACTTTATAAAGATGAGAGATAAAGAAAAGCTGACAGTGGAAAAGCTATATGCCATTTTTATATGACAAATTATTTACGTATAACGTTTAATAGTTATAATAGTAGTATTAAAATTGTTGTTGATTGTTGTTTCATCACTGCGTGGCGCTCACCAACCTGATCTATTTCACTTTCCCCTGGAAACAAGGGCTGTCCGTCACTCAGCTCCCCAAGGATACACCCCACTGACCACATGTCCACTGCCTTTCCGTAGGGAGCCCTGAGAAAGAGACAAAATATAATTTATGTGAAGAATGTCAACATTAGCTTGTGATGACCTTGTCAATTATATGGCAGGAGTGAGGATGATATGGGTGAACATGAAGTCACTAAAACGAAGTGGAGATGACAATGAGGAGGAATGGCAATGGAGGTGATGTTATTAGTGATGGTGGTGAGGTCAAATAAAATGATGGATGCCGTGTTTCTGATGGAGATGCACATAAAGAAGATGGTTATTTCTGAGGGAATGGTGCTGAGGAGTCTGGTGAGAAATGGCGAGAGATCTGGCAGCAGAGAAGCAGAGGAGCGGTGGTGTTGGAGGGAGAGAGTATTTGAGTGGGTGGCATTCAAACGCTGTCTCAATAAATGTTCCAGGGCATTTACTAAATCAGGCTACAGCAGTGAGGCTAGATGACGTTCAGCTGTCTCCAAGCTATAATGGACATTCAATGCAGCAAAAGCATCAAAAACAACATAAGCAACAAAAACAACTGCGAAACAAAAATTTGATCTCAGGATACGGTGCACGCACAATGGTTCATGTCATCATGTTGTAGCGGGTGAATCATCGGCTCTTTTTGGAGAAGAGTAAAGCTGTGATCTGAATTAAAATAATGAGGATGAAAACGTACACAAATTGGTTAATGGGATTGAACCTTGTGCACAAAGACGCACACTAAACAATAAAAACAATAAAATAAAAAATATAAGGACTACTAATACTAGATAGAAATAGACAACACTTAATTTAACCCTTAACATTAACTTAACTGTTGTATGTGTACGAATATGTGGAAATGTTTTGAAGTGGTAACCCTTTCTTTGCCAATAAACTGAACTTACACATTTGATGGAGGTGACAAAATAAGGAAATATCTCATATTTATGAACATATATATTCCTTTATTTTGCCAAATTCACCATCAAAGAAATATCAGTGTCATCAATGTCATTCTACATAGTGATGTTACTTATATTTGCGGTCAATTAATATGTAAGTAACAGAGAACGCACTGTCAGCACCAGTCAAAATTATGTTTATAAACAATCCTTATAATGTATAAAGCTGATAAAACCATGTTCTGTATGTTTTTGAGCTATGAAAGATGACCTCCATGACTTTAGAACACTAAACATTAGGGTTAAATAAGCTTTATGAACCTTTTCCTATCAACAACCTGTCAAATAGTACAGTAGATCCATCCAAATGTAATCAGATTTTTATAGTAATTCTATTACAGCTGAAACTCTTATTCTCATAATAAACAACAAACATTCTCCGGTTCCATCTTCTCCAGTGACAAAATGTGTTGCATTTCTGCAAATAGATCCTCCTAAATGTTACACATTGGACCTTTAAATTAAGTAAACATTGGATTCTCTAAAACTGCAATGATAATATATTAGATAAGGACACATAACTGCTGGACTGAAGGTAAGGTAGTGTATTAGGACTGACAACTAAGAGCAGAGTAGTCATTTCTTGCATAATTTTATTGGAGTAACTTCTGCTGCTCATTTCTCTGGGGACTTCCTGTAATTCCCTTATGGATACCTGGAAACTACTGGCCATCTGTAGCCTATTTTAGTGTATCAAACAACCTTACATTATTATATATGAGGGATGCACCAATCCCCTATGCCAGATCGGTATTAGCACCAATACTGGAATTTAATTGGGTATCTAACGAGACTACATGTTTTTTATGGCTGGACTGTTCATCCATCTGTCTATTAGCTACCCACTTATCCTTGAGGGTCTAAGCTGCCAGTCAAACACATAGAGGCAAACTATTTATGCTCACATTCACACCTTTACGGGCAATTATAGTTGCCAATTAACCTAACCTTCATGTCTGGACTGTGGGAGGACACCAGAGAACCCAGACGAAAACCACATAGAGAGGCCCCAGTCAGTCTGCAGGTTTGAGCCCAAAACCCTCCCGCTGTGATGCGACAGTGTTGTGACACCACTGTTTCTCACTTAATCTCCTTCACACACTAACACCTGCACCGTTCAATCAGATGGAAATATTCTACACGCCTGATGCATCATATTTCCCAGAATATTCATCCGAACACATTTAGGATCATTCGAAACTTTGGTCTCAGTTTTTGTAATGACTGGCACAGTGGTGGTTGCTTTATTTATAGATTTTTTGTTATCATTATAAAACTCAGATGTGTTTTCACTATCACTTATTTAAATTCAGTCATGGCAGAGATTTTAGTGTCTGGCGTCATGTTAGCTTACATAAAATTATTTTAATGAGTTATTTTCACTGGGTTTTACAGATGAATCTGGAGAATTAGTGTACTGGTATTGGATTGGTATTCTGTATCTGCTGATATCCTGAATCGAGGTATTGAAAATGCTATCAGCAGAGAAAAATATGGATCAGTGTGTCCCTGCCTAATAAAACCTTATACAAAAACTCCATCCATCTGGTGCTCTGTGAAGATATAAAATAAATGCTGAGAATGATTTGCAACATGAGGTCTCTTTCTCTCTCTCCTTGTTTCTCACATAGTCTCTCCTACACACACACACACGTACACACACAGACTCACCCCAGCAGCAGCTCAGGCGAGCGGTACCACCTTGTAGCCACATACTCAGTGTAATTGGCATCTGTTCCTTCAGACAGGTTACGAGCAAAACCTGAGCCAGAGTAACATGGTAATGAATAAATCACATAAACTTGATGCAGTATTTTAGACAACCAGTACTTAGTGATAATATTCAGACAATTTACAGTCTTTCACATAAATGTAAAAATAGCTAATTAGTAAGAATATGGTACAATCAATACTCGTTTTGGACAGCTACACTCACAACATGGTCGTCATCTTATGTGACCAGACTCTAATTAGTTATGTCACTGCAGGCAGGCTGAGACCATGCTTTAGATAACTGGTGTACAGAGAGTCAATTTTAAACATGAAAAATCACAATAAACAGCATGCCAGCTCCAACAGTGAATAACAAACAAATCTCACCCCAGCTGACTCAGTAGGGTTGCATTAGCCAATTATGCAAAGCTAATTGACTGTGTGATTTTGCAAAGACTCATCCAAATGTAAAATACACACCTGGGAAACTGTAAAATGACTAAACTGTGCTGTATCAATACAATTTATTAGTATATTATAGGAGACACAGGTGCCTAACATTCACCTGACTTTCTTGAAATATACCTTTGGCAGAGTCATTGTGATAACAACCACCAGAGTACATTTGAGTGTGCTGGTTGGCTGCTTCCCAGTGACAGAATTGATCCCTGTGATTAACAACTTACAAGGTGACAAATTAATGGTGGGATTTTTCACAGTGAACTGAGCCCAAGTAACGAAACTGCCCAAAATGGAATCACAGAAATAACTGCAAAAATCACAGTTAATTTGACAGCATTACAATGAATCTACACACACAGCAGAGTGTCTAATAAATTGCCAGTAAAAGCTGATTCAGTCTGTTAAACAAATACCAGGATTTTACTAGCAATTACCTTTATTTGACAAGGCAAATGTGCAGAGACTGTATGGTTTTACTGCAGTGCACCTGTAAATCTCTTGTGACAATTTGGCTGCCGTAAAGTACAGAAAGAAAAGACCAAAAACTCACCGAAGTCACAGAGTTTGAGAACATCCTCCGAGCTGATGAGGAGGTTCTCCGGCTTGATATCTGAAGGGGGGATGCAGACAAAAGACTGTCAACAATATGTTTCAATCACATCTTGCAATCCGATCCTACAATTCAGTGATGTAACACATAACTTGACTTCCATCTGCATCTTTCTCTTTCATAACCTGAGAGCTATTGTTGTTACTTAAAATTCTGTCTGAGCAACACTTTTTTCTTAACATTCCTTAACTTTTCTATAAAAATCATCTTGTATTTAGAAACTGGAGTAGATCTGTTCAGCAAGATGGCTCGCTAAAGGTACTGAAAGGCTCCAAGATGCATGAAGAGAAAAGATTGAATACAAAAAACATACATTATAACCAGTAATTTTGGTGTTAACTCTTGAAGACTTTTTTTCCTTTCACATTTTCATCTATTTACAGAAAATATATTTTCTTACATTAATTAGTTACATTAAATGCTGTTTACAAAGAGATGTGTTGTAATCAACCTCCTAATTTGCCTGATTATCAGACTGACTGGTAGTGGTTGCTTGGAGAAGTTTATGTTTTTGACACTGATTGAAGTAATCATTTTAAAGCAAACGTCTGTCACTGGGCACAACTTCAAGCTTCAAAAGTGTCAACAAAATGTTTACATCACTGGCAGATTTCTTTCACTTGTTTTGCATATGAAAAATGTGATTTTAAGACTCAACACAACTAAGTGTCATTGATATTTTTGCAGTCGATACATATGGAAATAAAGAAAATAAACTCCTCACCTCTGTGTACTATTTCATTCTTATGACACCAGTTGATAGCTTTGATGAGCTGGTAGATGTAGCTGCGGACTTTGTCAGGCGGTGCACCATTGGGCAGTTCCTCTAAGAGCTCCAGCATGTTCTGCAAACCACAACAAATTAACCTGTAGAAAGAGCTACAATGTGGGGCTGCAGTTTTAACTATACATAAATAATACTATATTATAAATAATATAAGTATAATATAGTTGCCTAGATAATTCTTACAGTGGGGATTCCTCTCCCCCTTTTGTTTAAACCCTGACTGGAGAGTGAGAGGGGATGCCATGCATTATAAGTATAAAAATAAAACCTGTCATGAAATAAACACTTGGCTGGATACCCTGGCAACACAGTGGGGAATACCATTATTCACCAACAGCATAGTTCATATGTTGCCATGGTGATGCTTTTTTTATGCTCAACTGATCAATCTCAACATCCTGAAACTTAGAGTCTAGATACAGCAGAATAGAGATATGTAATATAAAAATTTATGCGTGCATAGTATGCATATGATCATAGTGTCATTAAGCTGACCCTCTCCACATATTCAAAGACAAGGTAGAGTTTCCCCCTCCTGCGAAAAGCCTCCTTCAGCTCGACGATATTGTCTTGCTTCAGCGTCCGAAGCATCTTCAGCTCCCGAAGTGTCGTCTCCTTGACCTCCTCATTTTCTGCATGGAAATTAAAAAGACAGGAATGATAGCTGTTTGGCTCTTCCTCTGTCTCTCCACTACCTTTCTCCCTCGCCAGCTCCTTCACTCACCTTCGCTGTCTTTGAACTTCTTAATGGCCACCAGCTCATTAGTATCCTGTGAAGAAATGAGGACGTGAGTTGTGTTAAGACAAAAGAAAACAACTTATTGAGTTCAAGGCCTTGGTGACTTTCCAAGACAGATATAAAGATACAAAGAACATTAAGATCAGAGTAGAAGTGAGAAATATAAGGTATTTGTAGAATGAAAGGTGAAAAGGAGAAATAAAGGGAAATAGTGTGATTACTTTCCTGCCCACTCTTAACATGAAAAAAGTGTGCCCAAGTTGCTTGCAGTGCCATCTAAAGAGCCAATCTGGTCCTCTCATTTCAATTATTTCACCACAGGGCACTTGCATACAAAAAACAGAACATCCTTGGCATAGTTAATATGGATCTTATCTCCTTCAGTTCCTTGCAGGTTGCTTGATTGACCTTGCTGAATTTAACAAGCTGGTGTGGTTGTAGATTAAGAGATTTACCGGGGATTCAAGGGCTGTGCTGCAGCTGGAATGCTACGTTTTAGACATCACATATACAGTATATTGTACAACTTTACAAACAATAAAAAGGTAGGTTTTGTTTCTGATGATATAATGTAAATGTGCATACATCAAATTATAATGTTTAGTTATGAGCAAATGTTCACAGTGCTTAAACAATCAATCAATCACTTTTATCAGTGGAATATATAAAGAGGGATTCCCATTAATGAAAATGAGATCAATAATGGACTGGAAGGTTTAAATGATTACCCCTAGCACTCTGTTTAAGGGAAAATTAATCTTAAAATGAAAGCAACAGAAGGGATTGAGCTACACATATTTAAAATGCCTTATTGTTGACACATCTCAGAGTAAATACAATAACTAGCACTCTGGTCAGAACCAAAGGTAAGATTACTACATGTTTATGGCCTTTTCATAGGGAAGTTTTGCCGATTGTCAACCAGCTTTGTAACATGACAGTGTGGATAGTGTATGCAAATGAAAAATGTTTGCCATAACTCCATTTTGCCCTTACACTGAGTTCCCCGATTTGCCAGCAAATTAATCTATCAATTCGACTGTCCGTGGAGGCCGGCATACAAAAAATGCAAAAGAGCAATCTGTAGTTTGAACTAAAGCCCTAGAGCTGGCAAAAATGTGCCATATCTGGCAGCAAATGAGCAGAGAGCTCTTGGTGCAGGCAGCATAGTGGGATGTTAAACTGGTTCATTTGCATACACTAGCCACATTATAATGATACAAAGCTGGTTGAAAATGGGTAGTTTCCCTTTATTGAACAGTGCAGAAGTTTGTGAGGCTATTTATATATAGACCTTGACAAATGAAGAGGCTTTGTGTGGAAAATGCATAATGCTGTTATGACTTTTCCATGAAAAATACAGATATATTTTTATGAAACTTTGCCAACATACACTGCAGGCATGTAACATCATAAGCTGCTCTGTTCTTCTACTACCTACAGTAATTACTATATGACTTTAGCCTGTGTTAAAGTTACTGCTATATCTACCATTTCTCACTGGAATTCCATGGGTCAAGTTTGAACTAAAGCTGTCAGATCTCTTTCAGTGTGTGGTGTGTAATAAATAAAAGGTGTCATGTGCAAACATACTTCTAAATGACTAATTTTGTTTTCCAGCAAGTTTCTGTCATGACACTGAGAGCCAACATCCTTAATTAAATGAGAAATTGGTCTATTCCATCTTAATATAGCACCCTGAGGCTCGAGTGAGGCAAGACAGTGGTCCGGAGGGAATTACAGCATTCTGGCCAGTGTCCCTCTGTCCTGCTCTGTGCTACTCTCATGTTCCTCTATTGTCCTTTTGTTTATGGAGGGTCAGACAACAGAGTCAGCCTCAGTGTCCAGAAGAGGCAGCGCGGTGAGGAGCTGCATACCACCGGCAGTGCTTTTGCTCACACAGGCCAATTGTTTGACAGAACATGCTTTTTTTTATACAAAGCTGTCTGTTTTGAGATCTTCGCTTGAGTGACGAATAGAATGAAACATCATGGATTTACAGCTCAAACAAGACTTAATTGTGAGAGTAAAGTAACAGTTTCCACTGAAGGGAATTGCAAACTGGAAGATTTATAGGCAAAATAAAAAAAACACGCATAACAACGTACCTACAGCATGATATATGACACTTCAAGCTCTGTGGAAGCACCTTGCAATGTGCTGATGAGGCTTGTGCACATGTGTGGTGTCCCTGACCTCCACTGATTTACCTTTTGAGCCACTGTTAAGTCAGCTCACCTAAAAATAGCCACAGGCTTGATGATTTTCTGCTGATGACACAAGCAGGTCCTGATTGTCACATTACACAAAAGAGTAAAGGCTGAATGTTTCACTTTTCCTCCACAGGAACATGAATGTTTTAGCATATCATGGCATAATAAATGTACTGTGCCATCGAGGTGGTGATGTTGCTGTAATTGTTTAGTCACCCACTTATCTACTTATCTTTTAATATCAATACATGTCTGTTGAATGGAAGACATCATTATTATGCTAAATGGGAAAAGTGGGAATTATTTATTAATGGATCCCATTAAATGAATCTAGAGAAATATTCATGACAAGAGGGTGGCATGGAGACTTTAAGAGGTGGCAAAAAAAAACCCCAAAATGAAGCTATTTTAACTCAAAAGCATTGCAATAATGTGGCACATTAGAAAAACACTGAATAGAAAAATCGAAAAAAAAAATCCAAAATTCCAAACATTTTTTCTCAAATACATTTTGTCATTTTAATTGCACTTAAGGATATTATTTAGTCTAACCAGTTCCGTACAAATAGATCTTTAAATGAGATGTGTTCATTTCCATTTTTATTATGTCCTTTTTAAAAATCTTTTTGTAACTTTTACCCTTTATTGATGAAACATGGACATTTGGGGGGAAATTATATATTTTAAAATAAATCAAAACATGCCCGTTCCAGTACTCGCAATGCCACAACAGCTATTTGACTTACAGTATAATCATGAAACATTTAGCTTTTTCTTCAAACATGTATACGCAGCAAGGTTTCATAACAATTAAAAGACCTTGGCTGCTCTCAATTTAAGAGCCTCAGGAACATTAACTAAAAATTTGAGAAAATTAAAGAAAACACAAAGAAATCACAATTTTGGCATCACTAACTCATTTGGATGTGATATGGATGGATTTGTCCAGCATTTACTTCTTTGGATTAGACAAAAACAAACTATTTTAACTCTAGGTTCACTTACTTTCCCAGAAAGTTTTGATATTGTAATATAAAATCGCATAACCCATGATTGTCCATTCTTGCAGCTAACTACACCGTTGACCTTTTGCTCTTCAAAGACTCAAAACAGTGAAAAACCACCAAATCTTTTCAACTTTTAAAGATTTAAAACAGAGAAAATCAAACAAAAGATGAATTTTCTGTTGATCAACTACCAGTAATCAATTAACATGTCCCTTCAGCATTACAATACAACATAGAGATACTGTATAGGCACCAGGAAATACTGGCTAGCGTGTAGGTTGTGCTATTGTCACAAATTCAAGATAACACATAAGCCTCCATACACACACCCACATACGCTAATACAACACTTCCATAAAGTGGCAGAACATTGCACAAACGCTAGCACACAGTCGCTCGGCTAATTAAATGTTCCATCAAACACATACTGTACTGTAAAGTATACATAATTAAATAATAAAAAATAAAAAAATAATATTACAGTTGGGAGTCTCCTGGTTGGGTTTTAGCCCAGTAATCAGAGTCTCTATGATTGTGTGAAAAACATACATGGGTCTGAGGTAGCCTCCTAACAGGGTGACCCATTTACCATCAGCATAGTCTCCATATTTAATACCTCCCTCTGCATCTCCTCCTCTCCATCACACACACACACTCACACATTGCTTTTCTCTCTCCCTCTGCCACCCTTTTCTCTTTTGCCCTGCTTCCAGCTGAGAAAAGTAAAAATAACTGCTCTCTTGCAGCAAAGCTAAAAACCTTTTATCGGTCTAAGTCGCTGGCTCTACATGTGAAAATGAATGAATCCCCTACTTATATATATATATGTATATATATATCTGTGTGCATATACTTACTTACTCAGTTTAACATGACCGGACTTTGAAAGCTGAAGATTTGCTGAGAACCAAATTCATGGTCCAATAAAATAAAGATTGGGATGAAATGATAAATTTTAACAAACTTGCTGTTGCAGCACTGACTCATTTACCTAAAATGTTATTAGCTTAGATTTATTTGTGCTACGTAAACATTACAACTTGTGGTTCAGTCACAGTACATTTAAAGAAGGTTTGTCTTTGTTTTTTGTGTGTGATTGTTGGTTTTATTTCATTTTTCAGCCAGCCAACATGAGGCTTTGGTCTCTCCCTCTCAGTCTCTAATCAAAATAACCCATGTTAGCTATGCATACAAATAATTTATGAATAAACAACTGCTGAAAGAGAAGCATTTGTCTCACAAATGCAGCATTTAACTTTAGCTTATAAAAACCTTAATCAGACACAAAAAAACACTAAAGCATTCCCCATGTAACAATTCCATTCAATTCAGTTTTATTTGTATAGCACCAATTCATAACAAAAGTTATCTCAGGACACTTTTCAAATAGAGTAGGTCTAGACTGTACTCCTTATAAAATTTATGTACAGCAAACCAATGAGGCTCCACCATGAGCAAGCTTGGCGACGGCGACAAGGGAAAAACTTGTCTGAGCAGAAACCTCAAACAGACCTTGGCTCTAGGTGGGCGGCTGTCTGCCTCGACCAGTTGGGGTTGACAACAAAATTCCACATTCACAGTTGAGCTGCATTATGCATTTTAACACCTCAGATAATAATAATAATAATAATAATAATAATGTTGGGTTGCAACTTCCTCTCTAACCAGCATGTTCTGCTTACCACGTCATTTTGTTCATGCAAGCGTGTGCATATTTAGAATTTTAATGAATGTATATAATTTATGGGTCATTTAAAATTTTCATGAAGCAAAGCGTTGAGAGAACCTCTTGGTCAAGAGACAAATGTAGGGCGTAAAATGAAAGAACCATGCATAAATGGCACATACAAGAAAAGGAGCCATGGGGAAAACATCAAGCACTCACAGTACTTCATAATGAATTTTTAAATTCAGAAACATAAACTCGCTGTGGTTTCACTACAGTGTGGTTTAATGTCCTCTTCAATGTAGGTAGTGATAACCTGGATTCCATTTCAGTTCAAATTGAGTGCAACAATGATGACCAAAAATGAAATAAGATTTACTCTTTCTTAAATCTTCCCTGAGAAACACATCAGGATAGCAGCAACATTAAAAATTTAACAAATGTCTCCTGTCTTGTTGACTCTGCTGCAACTGTCACTCCTCCCACAGTTGTCCTCACGCTCTATGTGTGGAGTTAGGTGTTTTTCACAAATATATTATGTTCATAAATGTACTGGCAGAAGGACTGATATAAAATTAGACTAAAATATCTAATTCTATACAGTTAAAGCAGGACACGTTGCTTTATCCACACAGATGAATCTTTACTACAGTACATTTTGATTCATGTAGCAATGTGGCTTGGTTTGATTCAGTTTAGTAGAGTGATAGGATAATCAAAATCTGAATGTGAAATCAATGAGTCATGCTATCAACTTGAAAGACCATGCTCTTCAATAAAGAGAAGAAAACAAGCCCCATACTGTTCAGCCACTATAATCCACATAAGCAAAGAGTTGTCGAAATTACACAATTTAAATCTTAAATTATTACTGTGAAGTCAAAGCAATAGGCTGACCGAGCAGCAGCGACTGGTGGGGTGAGTGGTATATGGACCTTTTCATCCTGAGTTTTGGCTCTCAGGCTACATACAAGCTGGAGGTTGTTGGGGCTGTAAGCAGTAGGACTGTCCCCTAATAGTCGACTTAACCATTAGTTGATGAAAAGCTGCTGCCACTAGCTAGTTAGCGGTAAGGAAAATCTTTAGTCAGGGGCGGCCCTACAAGCATTGATGTAGATATTTCTCAACTCAGGCCAAGGGAATGCCGGCGCCTTAGATAAGCTCTGACAATTTTATACAACCTTACTGTAAAACTCTTTGTAAATGGTAACTTGACACAAGTAATATGTGTTTGCACCCAGTCAAAAGTTACGAGGAACATTGTGGTTTGGGCTCCACAATGACCCAGATGAAGCCAAGTGTGCAGAGGCTTCAAAACTACTGCCATCATGGAAGCTAACCCTGTTAGCCCAGAAGCAAGAAACCAAAACCAAAAATACTAATATATAACAAGATAACATGAGGAGACTGTTACATCTAATATGGATGAACAGAACATACTCACATGCCCTGAATTTATCATGTCACTGGATGCCCAACAATCATTCGACAGGGTAGAATGCAACATTTTATTTGCTACGCTGTCAAAATTCAGATTTTGTAAATGGATAAAATATCTATATTTATTTTCCTAAAATATCCAGATCAACCCATCAAGGATGCAGTCTCAGTCTGTTCCTGTTCACAGTTTTCCTTGAACATTTAGCCACATTGATTAGAGAGGAGCCAACAATTGAAAGAGTTATTGGAGGCAGCAGTGAACACAAATTATTTCTGTATGCTGATGACATTTCAGTACTGAGTCAAGAATCAGCCACCACTATATCAGTGTTGTTAGAAGTTATTGAAGCATATTCCAAACTGTCAACATGTAACTTCAAATGGTTTTCAAATGGTATGAAATAATTGGGGAGAGAACTGAATCCAGGCATAGGAGAAATCAAAAATCTGGAGTAAATTACGCGTTATGGGAGAAAATGAACACAATAAAGATGGTTATAGTCCCACAGATAAATTATATAACTGGAATGATACCAATGTGTATTCCAAAACAATTACTACTAAGACAAAATAATATGATAAAACATTTTCTTTAGCATGGAAGAAAACCTAGGATTCATGTGGACCAGCTTGGCCAGCCCAAGAAGGGTGGAGGCCTATCTCTACCAAACATAAAATATTACAATATTTCTTTTGAAATGGCTAAACTTGCCAGACACTGGACTGAAACAAATTCTGAATTGGACTGGATTTTGATTGAATAGGAGCTTACGTCTCCTTTTAAACCTATTGAGGCTTTAGCACAAATATTAGAAGGGGAGAAAAATAATAGGATGAATCCCATTCTAATACATTCAAGGACTGTTTCGCAAGAAGTACATAAAAATGTAACATCTCTCATAATAATCAGAAATATGCATCCATATGGTACACTCCCAAAATAAAAACATTCCAAAATCCCAAAACAATTTATGGGGCTTAGTAGTTAAGACAAGGAATCTGAATGATATGTTCGAACAGGGCAGTTTTCTTTCATATAACAGGATAAGGGAGAAATTAAATCTGGAGGAGAGGGCCATCTTTGGAAATATTTTCATAGTAGACGTTGTATTAAGGGGAAAGTTCACTTTCACACATGAAAAAAAACCCAGTAGAGCACTATCTACAACTGCCGACAATGTTTCATAAAGCATCAAAGTGGTATGAGTTATGTCCTTGGGAAGCCATGGGAAGTGCATCTTTGTCAGGAATATTAAGCTGAGCTTCTGCAAGTGAATATGTCAGTCAGAGGGCTAGATAAGAGTTGGACTGGTTAACGTGTGAGTGAATTTACTGACATACACTTAATTTCTTTACATGAATCATTAATTAAGTGTCATGTAGCAGCGTTTGAACCAACCTCAGAGATGGGTTTGTTTAAAAGAGATAGGAATATTTTTTTTTTATAAAAGTAAGTCTGTTTTCTGACTGTGTAAAGTTCAATTGCCC